GTACATGTACATGTATGTGTGTTTGTATGTACATGTACATGTACATGTATGTGTGTTTGTATGTACATGTACATGTATGTGTGTTTGTATGTACATGTACATGTATGTGTGTTTGTATGTACATGTACATGTACATGTATGTGTGTTTGTATGTACATGTACATGTACATGTATGTGTGTTTGTATGTACATGTACATGTACATGTATGTGTGTTTGTATGTACATGTACATGTACATGTATGTGTGCTTGTATGTACATGTACATGTACATGTATGTGTGTATGTACATGTACATGTATATGTATGTGTGTATGTACATGTACATGTATATGTATGTGTGTATGTACATGTACATGTATATGTATGTGTGTATGTACATGTATGTGTGTATGTACATGTACATGTACATGTATGTGTGTATGTACATGTACATGTATATGTATGTGTGTATGTACATGTACATGTATATGTATGTGTGCTTGTATGTACATGTACATGTATGTGTGTTTGTATGTACATGTACATGTACATGTATGTGTGTATGTATGCACATGTACATGTATATGTATGTGTGGTTGTATGTACATGTACATGTATGTATTAATTAATTTCTTAGATGAATGATCTCTATTATTATTATTATTATTACTATTATTATTATTATTATTATTACTATTGCTAATTATTATTCCTCACAGATTATGCAGCTCCTAAGAACACGTATCTGTACAAGGATGACATACTGAACTTCAGGGTCCGTGATGACGATGTCTGGGTCCTCACCTATCCTAAATGTGGTAAGCATGGAGACAGGAGAGAGAGGGGAGAGGAGGGGGAGAGAGAGGAGAGAGGAGGGAGGGGAGAGAGAGGAGGAGGGGGAGAGGGAGCGAGAGGGGGAGAGAGAGAGGAGGAGAGGGGAGTGGAGAGAGAGGAANAGAAGAGAGAGGGGGAGGGAAGAGAGAGAAGAGAGAGGGGGAGGGGAGAGAGGAAGAGGGAGGTTGGAGGAAAAGCTGGAGGAACAAGAGCGAGGATGAGAGAGAGAGAGAGAGAGATGGACGAAGAGCGTGCGCATGAGAGACAGTAAGAGACGGTGTCGCCCCCTGCAGGCACCACGTGGACGCAGGAGATGGTGTGGATGATCTGTCATGACGCGGACTCCGCCCTCGCTCGCTCCGCCACCATCATGGATCGATTCCCGATGCTCGACACACCAGATGGCGCTGAGATCTCTCGCCTCGCTGCGCGCGCTTCGCCACGATACATCAAGTCTCATCTGCCGCTCTGTCTGCTCCCACGCGGACTCCTGCACTCAAAGGCTAAGGTGAGCACGTGCTGCCATCTAGCGAGGAGGATGGTGACGACAGTGGTAATGGTGGTGATGATGGTGATGGTGATGATGTTGATGATGGTGATGGTGATGATGTTGATGATGGT